GGGGTCTTGGTGTGAGTCACGGGGTCTTGGTGTGAGTCATGGTGTGGAGCTACCAAGGGACGATCTAAGCACTGGTCTTGCTCTTGTCTGGAGTGAAGAAGGAAGAGAATCGAGGAGGAATGGTAATAAGAAAAAGGACGAGAACAGGGCTGGGGCAACTGCAGCACACCCTCTGTGTGGGGCACGGGGTGAGGCCGCGGAGGAGAAATGCTGGACCACACAGCCCAGGCTCAGCGCCAGGCTCACTCCTCATCATCAGAGTTTCTTCTGGAAAGTTTGAAATGTCACTGGGCGGCCAGGGGCAGGCACAACCCTGCCCAACAAGGCGCCCTTGTCTGCTCCCATGGCACTTGGCTCTGGGTGTCACGATAATATTTGTGCGATGCTCGTTAAATGTTCTTTCTGGCAACTGATTTCCACACAGCCATTTCCCAAGGAACTTAGATCAACAAAATTCACTGTAACAAGGTCCTGGATCCACAGAAAGGGTCCTTCCTCATTGATCTGTAATGGTCAAGTCACTGTAGGCCATTAGCTGCCCCAAAAGGAGCTGGGCGTTTCATGAAAATGGTTTACACCCACCTCACTGGCCCTTCGGACAAGTGGCAGTGTCCACACCCAGCACCCCTCCAGCCCCGGTTGGAGAGGAGGAGGGAGCCCTCTGACCAGACCCCTGAACAACTCACACTACAGGGGCTTAGCTGAGGTGCTAAGAGAAAGATTGGAAGTTCAAATCAAGCGGCAGAGCTGCAGAAGTCTGGGTGTGTGATGCAATAGAGGCTACAGGTGCCAGGTGACCTCGAGCAGACCATGACCACCTGTGGACAAAAGGTCAGCACCCAGCACTCGCCTGAGCCATCCTAGTGTGTGTGACACACTCCTGCCTGTTACAGTCACCACACCTGCACCGTCCACGTGTGTGTGACACGCTCCAGCCTGTTACAGTCAGCACACCTGCACCATCCTCGTGTGTGACACGCTCCAGCCTGCTGTGACTATCACCGGTGTCAGCCCACCTTGTGGAGGGTCACCCTCTCTTTAGGTGACCTTTCCTTTGTCCAAGGACTGCCCTTCCTGACAACTTGGCCCAAATCAGTGAGACAGAGCTTCCCTGCTTTTCCTCCAAGGAGCACTTCCTTCAGGAGCTTTGGCTCTTCTGTGGGG